ACGAACTGGGAAATGGGAAATGAGGTGGCAATCCATCGTTTTCGCCAGATGTTTTGATCGAGCCTTTTTACCCCGGCCGGGAAATGTCCGTCGTATGCTGTGATTTACCTATCAAACTCTGTTAACGTCCTTAATATATGCTGCCGTCGCTGTCCCGACATACAAAAAACGGACGAGCATTCGAGATTCAGCCAGTAGATTAAATCACACCGATGGCAATTGCAGTGGAATCCAGGTAGACACCCGGAGAAACGGATAAAACATAAAGAAAAAAAAATTTCCCCCCTTGGTGAAAGTAATGTTTGTGCTTTTACAAAATTCCAGTCTTCGCGGGTTGATTTACGTCCAACGGGGCGGTGAGCATTTTTTTTTTGGAAATTCCGCCGGTTATTTGTCAACTCCGTCCATTCTTCTACCCCGGGCAGAAAAGCACTTCTGATTGACTCAGTGAATTTTAAAAATAATTTTCTCAAGATTTACGACTCGCCATTTTTATTTATTTTTCAGCCTCTCTACCTTAAATCAAATAGAACGTTTCCGCTTTATATAAACGTAAAAAAATAAACTTTCGAAATGAATATTCCAACCACTCTTTTTTACTCTTACTGGGAAATAATGTAAACAAATTAATGTTATAGAAGCAGAATGAAAGTTAATCTTTTGATAAATATGTTAAAATCTTTAAATTTATCTTATCACCTAATGTATCTGTTTAAATTATATATATATATATATATATATATATATATATATATTGGGTTGTATATATTGGGTTGTCCGGAAAATAATGCAGGATTTTAAGTTTTCATTAAAAAAAATCTATATAAAATATTCTGTTTACGTTTACAGGATTACTCATTTGTATGAATGTCAACACTTATTAATCCTCTTCCAAATGATATTGTTTGTTTACCTCTGTAGCATTCCGCTACTTGGAAATAATTCAGTCATCCTTATAATGTCAAAGCGAGAATTTCGTACGATTTTCTTTTACGAGTTTAAACTCGGCCGAAGCGGAGCCCAAACGGCTAGAAACATTAACCAAGTCTGGGGCGAGGGTTGTGTTAATGAGTGCACTGTGCAAAGGTGGTTTAAAAAATTTCGGGAGGGAGATTTCAGCCTTGAAGATGAAGAAGGTCGTGGAAGGCCTTCCTCTCTTAATGATGATGTTCTGCGATCAGTGGTGGAAGAAAACCCCAAAACAACTGTTCGAGAACTTGCAGAGCAACTCAAAGTCAGTAAAACGACCGTCGCTGACCACCTCAAGGCGATTGGAAAAGTGAAAAAACTCGAAAATTGGGTTCCACACTCATTAAACGATCGCCAAAAAAATCAGCGCTTTGATGTTTGTGCATCACTTCTTTGTCGAAACAAAAATGACCCATTTCTGGCCAGAATTGTTACATGTGACGAAAAGTGGATTCTCTACGATAACACTAGACGTTCTGGACAGTGGCTCGACAAAGGAGAAGCTCCAATACATTTTCCAAAGCCCCCAACTCATCAAAAAAAGGTAATGGTTACGGTATGGTGGGCTTCATTTGGTTTAATACACTACAGCTTCTTAAATCCTGGCGAAACCATCAATGCTGAATCATACTGTAACCAAATTAATACCATGCATCAGAAATTGGCAGTAATGAAGCCCTCTTTGGTCAATCGGAAAGGGCCCATTTTGTTGCATGACAACGCTCGACCACATGTGTCACGTGTAACGTCACAAAAATTATTGGAGCTTGGCTATGAAACTTTGCCTCACCCACCCTACTCTCCGGACCTCTCGCCTACTGACTACCATTTTTTTAGACACCTGGACCACTACTTACAACACATAATATTCAAAAATCAAACGGAACTGGAAAATGCATTTATTGACTTTATCAATTCTAAAAATTCTGAATTCTACTCAGACGGAATTAATAAGTTACCAACACGTTGGGAGAAATGTATTGAGAGTATGGGAAATTATTTTGATTAAAGAACATTGCTTTAAAGTAACTAGTTTCTTTTTTTTTGTTTAATACCAAAATCCTGCATTATTTTCCGGACAACCCGATATATATGAAAAAACACAGTAAATCAAAATGTGAGACAATAAATTCTAAGATAATAAATATATAAAGATAGGCTACCACATGGTTCGAACCAATCTTGATTGCTATTTATCATCACGATAAATTTAATTATTGAAAATTTAAATTTCTTTAATATCATAATTTATTGATGATTTACAAATAAATGTTACGAAAAGGATAAAATTGTTGGAACTTTATGCTCAATAAACGCATAATTAATTAATATTAATGTATGGTGCAAAGCGCAGTGTTTACTAATCAACCCTAGTAAAACACAATCAATAATCATTGTAAACACTAGAATCTCCCAATGAACTACAAAATGCTTCTATCACATTAGAATTCAACAAATCGTTTATAGTAGAAGCAATTTCAAAAATTTAAATGTAGAACAAGAAATAATAGCAAGCAACAGAAGAAAAAATATTTATTACGTGTTAAATAACTTCCTATTGATGTACTTGTTGTGTATAGAGACGGATTTGATGCACTGTAAATGTACAATTATTAGATTAACTATTTATTTATTCTCATTGTACTGCCTTATTTATTGTATTGTTAAACTTTTGGGAAAGACGACACACTTTCAAATCGCATACTTTTGTTATTAAGTAAATTGTTTAGATAAATAAATGTAAATACATAATGCAAAAATATACATAGCACACTGTAACTCGATACAACACTGCACGTTAGGTAAGAAAGGACAAAAATGTCCAAAAATGTGAACGTAGTATAAATAAAAAGAAGCCAAGTCTTTCTCACTGTTTCTTCCTCTTTCACCATCACGTTCTTTCTTTCTCTTCCTTTCCCTTTCTCCATCTTTAATTGGAAAGAGAGGTCGTTAGGGACTTAAATTGTGAGCTTTTTGAAAATAAAACAATATTCCTTCATTCTCTCTCTGTCTCTCTGTCTGTCTGTCTCCCTTTCTCTCTGTCGGTCTGTCTCTCTCTCTTTCTCTCTCACTTTCTACCGAACAACTCCATAAATATTTATTTACCTAATCTTTCTCTTTCTTTTCCTGTCTTACTGACCCTCTCTCACTCTCTCTCTCTCTCCCTCCCTTTCTACCGAACTACTCCATAAATATTTATTTACCTAATCTTTCTCTTTCTTGTCCTGTCTGACTGACTTTCTCTCTCTCTGTCTGTCTGTCTGTCTCTCTCTCTCTCTCTGTCTGTCTGTCTCTCTCTCACTCTCTCTCTCTGTCTGTCTGTCTCTCTCTCTCTGTCTCTCTCTCTCTCTCTCTCTCTCTCTCTCTCTCCCTCTCTCTCTCTCTCTCCCTTTCTACCGAACTACTCCATAAATATTTTTTTACCTAATCTTTCTCTTTCTTTTCCTGTCTGACTGACTCTCTCTCTCTCTGTCTGTCTGTCTGTCTGTCTCTCTCTCTCTCTTTCTCTCTCTCTCTCTGTCTCTCCCTTTCTACCGAACTACTCCATAAATATTTTTTTACCTAATCTTTCTCTTTCTTTTCCTCTTACTGACTCTCTCTCTCTCTCTCTCTCTCTCTCACTCACTCACTCACTCTCTCTCTCTCTGTCTGTCTGCCTCTCTCTCTCTCTTTCTTTCTTTCTATCTCGCTATCTCAGTTTATTTCTTCATATATGCGTATATACCTCTATCTTTCTCTTTTTTTACTGTCTCTCTCTTCTTCTCTCTATTTTTCTCTCTTTTTTCTTTATCATCTCTATTTACATATCCAAAGGTCCGAATCTTCATTGTATAACAGTAATGAATGAATCACTATCATGCAAAGAATTTGTAAGGCATTTTTTGAGTATTATCAATATAATGATATGGTTAATACTAGCCTATTTATCTGTACAACCTTTTGCCATTTTTTGATCTCTGTGAATATGTATATTTATTCCAACTTTCATTTTTAATGTATTTTTCTCCCTCTCACTATCAATTTATTTATCACTTGCATGGAAATTGAAAACTATACTAAATAAAAATATACAATTTGGTTCCTGAAGATGGCCAAAAATTTTTTAAAGAGATCTGAAACAAAAACCGGAAAAAGAAAACAAAATACAATGATTTAATATTAATAGTTAATTCGGATTATTTTGACTTGTATTGTATTTAAACTCTAATAAACCACGGTGGAGAAAAGCACTCCTCTTGGCTAAATTATTCAAAACGTATTCGCTTAAGTGATTAGAAAACAAATTGGCCCAGTTTATAATAACACAATTTGCATATTTCATTATTATTTTACTAACATAATAAATAGTACAATGTTGATCATTTGCGACATTGTTTGATGTACAATTGTTTCAATATTAGCTGATTTAATTTGCCTATAGTTACAGTTTAAGGTTTAAGATTTATTTTCATGATTACGAAGTGAATACTAAAAATACATGTTGCAGAAGGTACAATGTTATATCTGACATTTTAGATAGTATTGTTGAACATGTTTTTCACACCATACGAAGATAATACTTGAATATATTTTATATTCGTTTTATGTTTGAAAAGTCAAAAGAGGTTATTTAACAAAACAAAGAACTTTCCGACTTGAAGACTTCCTAAGTGCCTTTGTAACAGGGTTTCGTGACTTCTCCGTTTACAATATTATTTTTTATGACGCTGTCGGCAAAGATAGAAATGAAAGGAAATATCTTGTCATCCCAGCGCGGTTTTCATGTGTAGAGTTTTCGTGTCGGCGAGTTTTCCCTTTTCTTTTTCTGTTGGCCCATTTCTCACCCTACCGCCTCCGGGCTCGCGTATTTATCGTTCACGGTACCGTCAGGCGATCAGGGACCGTTAAAAAAAACTTCTATTTTAAGAGATTATCGGTTTTCTCAGTGTCGGGCTGTCATGAATACAGGAGGAATGTGACGATGTATCGCATAAACATGTGAAATGACATGATTCATGTACTTGAAGTTATGGGGGGGGGGAATTCCTTACCGTTTGAGCCGTTGTACATGCTCTTCTGGTGTTGCTGCCTTGAGCTTTGCCCGAATTGCACTGGAACTTCTTCACTTGCAGGCACGACGTCCATCTCGGTCATTGTACACCTAAAAACATCAACATATAAAACCAATATTTAAAGATTATTAATTTTTAAAGCCATAGCTATAAAATGTTTATGACATTTATAATTTATTAAGTCGAATTTTTTTCACAAAGGCTAATTTTATTTTTTTTAAAAGAAGTTTTTTTTAAACGTTTCATGTTTCTCTTTTCATTTTTTTGACCAGAAAATAACAAAAGTTAAACATTAACAACTTTCAGAATCTAGAATTACAAGGTAAAGTTATTTTTATAATTTCATTTTTAACAAGTATACGATTAACAGCAAAGGTTGGGAAGATTATTAATGAAATAATTAAACAAAAATATCGTTTGCTACCTAAACAGTCTTACCGAATTAACTTAAAATATTGTTATTGATCTGTTCAACTTGAGTAGGTAACAAATCCGATTTTGTTGATTATAATAAATAAATGCTTGCTTTGTTATTAGAAAGTATCATGAATTATGTAATTTTTTTTTCACTTCCTCTGGAATGTTTTGAAAATGAAAATGTAAGATGAATTCAGCATTTCTCGCATTAACTTTAATAATTTATTGTCGTATGATTATTATATTCTGGAAATTGGTAAAATTAATTCGTAGTAATTTAACACGAGAAAAACTTAACACTCTCAAAAATTAATTTAAAAAAATTATTTTGTACGAAAAAAATTAAAACTTAATAAATTTCATACGAGAAATTTTAAAATGGATATTTAAGACGATCGCAAATAGTTCTTATGTAAAAAAGAAAAGAAAATCCACTATATTTTATATATAGCATTGTTTAAAGCTTGTGATATTAAGTTAAATTAAGTTTCAAATTACAGCTTTCTAAAAAAAACTGCCTTTTTTCACTAATATGTTAGTTTCATCCATCAGACCTGATCAATTGAAAAGACATTTGATTCTTCTACATTTGATGAAATACATCAAATAATTTATATATTTTCCTCAAATCCACCAGCACAATCGTTTTGCAGTCAGCTTCCACATCGTTGTAGGGTTTTTCGTTGAAAATAAATTAATAATAATTCATTTTAAATAGCTTTTAATATTTCAATTGTTGTTGGTAAATATTTGCTACTGATTTAAATTTATTCTATGGGAAAGTGTTTAATATTGTAGTAAAACTAGTAATAAAAGTCAGTTTCTAGTTCAGGGATGGTTCCTATGCTGGTTATGATTTGATTTAGTTTACTATTCGAATGTCTTATTTTAATAATGATGTTAGAACAATTGAAGAAGAGGATTGTTTACAAATTTTAACGAAAAAGAGAAGAGATTTATTTAAACTGCTGTGAACTTAATTGAACTTGGTATAATGAAGTTGAATGTTTTCAATCGCCAAAACAAAAACAATTTTGAGCTGTAGTTCAAGTAAAGTACAGATTACAGATAAAACATTTAGCTTACCTTTGTAATTGTCGTTGTAGCTTTAATCCAAAATTTGAGCTTACGTTACAGGGTTTTATCACACTTTTAGTCTTGAGATTTTAATGTATAGATTTATTTGGAATAACTAAAAATTTTGGACCCCGTGAAGAGTTGAAATAAATAGAAAAACGACAACAAAAGGTCTTAAGAGTCGACCGGTGTTTATCGGTGTATCAGTTTTAAGCTTTTTGGGGGAGGGCGCGGGAGGGGGAAACTATAATACGAGCGAAAAAAAAATTCAAAAACCGCCCCCGGATTGTGCTTTACGGCTTCACGAAGGGTTGTTCCACGAGAACGGGTCTCTCCCGGGTACGGGCCTCTCTGTGTGTAATTGGGTCGTAGGGTTTTTGGGTATTGTCAGAAGCGGGTGCTGGGAGGCCAGCAGGGGCGGCGCAGGCGCCCGTTTCCGCCCCCACCAGGGGAGGAAAACTGGGGGCCAGACCCGGGAAAACACCCGGATTGGGTGGACGTACTTTTTTCAAATCCGAAACGATCTTTCCAACTGTTGGAATCCAACCCGAGGCCAAGATCACCTGAGAATCAGTCTCAAATTTAAAAAATATGTCAATGTTTTTTACAATCCAACAATCAAAAAGTATCCAGTATGCAAATCATGCATATTTTTTGAAGTTTTGAAATACACAATGAAAACGCATATATTGGATTTTTAAATTTAGGCTAATTTAACATCCACACATTAAAAACGGTAATGTTAAATTTTGACGCGAAGCACAATCTCGGATACGTTTTGTTAGTATCAACGAGGGTTGACAATTTGAATCAATCATATCCGATTCCCCTATCCACTCTTTTCATCTGTCAGAAGCTTTCAGTACGTCTTTTTACACAGAGATACCTATCGCATACCTATCATACAACATTATTGACGGTTATTTGGACGCATTTTCTCCAGAAAGTATTTTCTTGGGAGCTGGAAATATCTGGGTCAGGGGGAGAATTTTCCGCAATTTATTTCAGACATCTACACTTCTTTCGAACATTTGCTTAATCTATGACAACACTTGATTGCCTTTTATTAATTACAGATACCCAAAATCCTTATCATTCAAATTCTTTTATCACACCAATAAATGAGTCCTAATTTTAATAATTCCCATGGGTAATCAATTTGGTAGCCTATCTTCCTGGAAATTCCCAATTTTCTTAATAATCAATTTTTAAATATTTTGATATATGTCCTCCATTTCTTTTCAGGCCTTAAAACATAAAAATTCATAGTAACTTTGAATAAATGTTTAATAAAACATTTCCTTTGCAATGGCGCAACATTTTTGCAGAACTTAAAATTTCGCTCAAAATAAATTCGATTTAGTCCCCTGTTTGCCAAATAGGTTGTTAATATATATAATAATTTTAAAGTTAACATTGTTCATCCTATGGGTGATATAGGGTGTCTTTTTTACATAAATATTAAATCCTGTTCCACCGCCCTCTAGGGACGTCATTGTTAAGCCGAAGCGCTTTTTTTAAAAGCAAATCCTCATGAAACCTCACTTGCAAGATTAATTTTGATTAGATCCTTTGTCAAAGGGAGAAAAAAACTGTTTCCATTTCAACATTTCACAAGCCCAAATTCGAACCAATTGTAAATATATGATATGAATTTTCTCAGAAAACATGGGGGACAAATAAATTGTAATATATCCTTGTCCTTAAAGTGAACTGGAGCAAATTACAAAAAGTGCAAAGATTATGTGGATTATGGAGGCGTCACTGGGTCAGCCACCTATATACATTCAGAAGATAAAAAAGTGCAGACTTTTTGATTATGGTAAGAAAGAGAAAACAGTTTTAATGAAAATCGATAAGAAAATTTTGGACAAACGAAGGAAAACACACAACCGCTCGATCATATTGAAAAACAGAGATTTTTCTGAAAAAATCCAAAATTTAAAAAGTATCCAATAAAGGATTTTAAAAAAGGTTGTACGAGCAATGGGGCAAAATTTGTAGCTGGTAAGGTCCTTTTAATAAATCAAGCTAAAGTCAACGAAATGAATTCAGAACATTTTAACCAGATTGGATGTCCACGTTCTTTAAATTTTAAGCATTTAAAACTAACATTTTTAGGGCCATGGGAAAAAGTAACAAGATGAGAAGAGTAAACTTGCAAAAGATGAATCATTCACTCCTATGGAACTTGAGCCAGAACGAGTCACAGAACGAGTTTGCTCAAGTTAAACGTAACTCATAGTGGGTAGAGATAAAGGAAAGCTCGCAATGAAATTAAATGCCAGGTATGTTGTATCGAAAAGTCTGGTATTTTTAAAATATGTCTTTTTCTCGAGGAATCATTCTCGAGACGTTCGGCCATTGTCCGTTGAAACACAACCTTGGGCCAAACTGAGACATGATTTTTCATGCCCTCTGAAGAAGCATAATCAATGGACCTGGGATATCACCACTTTGCAAAGATGTAAAGAAATTCGTGAACATAATCTACAAAGTGGGGAAACTCCTGAAAGAGAGTTTTTTAAAAATATTTTTAAAGATGTCCATTAGGAGTAATGGAACGCATGTGTATCCACTGGTTAGGTCGCGGTTTTAAAACCACCAGAAACGCCAAAATTAAAAAATAAATCCTTGTCATTAAGAAAGATCTGTATTTTTCTTATCTTTAAAAAAAAAGTATTATCTAAAAACATGTTGATTGTAAATTATTAGGCTTATCTTATTAAAATTATCCAAGTGATTACATGCTGAGAGTTTTTAATTGATTGTTTGTCAATTTCTGCAGCCTCAATCACATTTTTTATTATCTTTTAATGTTTGTTGTTTCGTTTTTAAACGAAAAGGCATTTTCGAGGAAAACATGTAACATTTTAATACTTTTTTTCTAACATAAAAAAACTAATGTCGGAAGAAAAGGAAATATTTTTTTATATTTATTGTAGATGTTATCTGTGATAATTAATATACGAAAATAATAAAAAAACGGGAAATGCTAGTACGTATCCTCCCTGGGTCTAAATTCGCAACATTCTAACTAATATGGTTACCACAATACTGATGTTAACTCAATCAAAATGATTCTACATTAACAATTGTATTGCAGACTAAAAACAATGCCTATTTCTCCTATATAAAGCCCAAAAAATGTTCATCAAACATAAAAAACATAAAAAAAAAAAAAAAAAGATCAATATAAATCATTGGAAAAAAAAAAAAAAAACATAAAAAAAAAAAAAAAAAAAAAACGTAAGCGAAAATCTCCTCACACATGTACATACATACTACATGCGTATACAGAGTTGAGCCTGTGACTTGTAGTCAGCTGCACTGGCAATTCACTTTTGTAAGTTACAATAAATTACAGCGGGTCTAGAGAATCACCCAACCCGGGGTCAGACCAAGGTCTTATCCGTCTCCATGGGCTCCAGGGGCTGTCAGTCAACTGCTAGATCGTTTCAACCCCCAACAGAATCGTTCCTGAAAAGACGGAATTAGATATCCTTAATCCTCCTTTTTAAAAAAGATAGTTCCTACTCACAGAATGTTGTTTTCCAACGATCCGGATTTCGAGCCCTTAGCTCATTATCAGGTTGAAGGATTTCTACAACCATGTCTCTCGACATGAATTGCAAAAGTGAACCCGCCAATACCCCCGCCAACGCAACGTTCCAATGAGAAGATGGTTTTTTAATGGCGCTCAATTTGAACGTGCGAAAAAGGGGAATTACAACACAAGTGCTCAATATTAATTACATTACGCCACTTAAATAAATTAAAACACACGCTATGGGATACGAAAATACCGGTACTATATAAATAAAACAACCCTGTTTCCTCCAAGAATCGTAAAAGTGGACCCAAATACTCGCTGCCGTAGCACAATTCTCATTCGGGCGGGATTCCTACGTGCCCTCTTCATTAGGTGGGAAAACTAGCAAACTTGCTCTATATAAGGACACACAAGCGGACTTTGGCCCAAAAATGTCAACCTCAGCCAACCAAATGTCCTATCCTTAATTGGGTGAGGATGACCCTTCTTCTACGAGTACTTTCAAGGTCTACCTACCGACTGTGCTCTTTGTACGTTTTAGCTTCTCTGCAGATCCAGCCCACCGATACTGCCCCTTTTTTTTAGTCATACTTTTTATTGCATTTAGAGAATCAGGGGGCCGAATCGCGGGAGTTAATGCTTGGTTAACTGGATGGTCCCGCTTTAGCCCCCTCGACCATTAGATATGAAAATAATGAATAATTGCAATAAAAAAATTATAGTTTCCTGTTTGTTTCATAAGTTACATTTGAATTGTTTACTTCCCCAAAGCAATCAGCTTCAAGATCCAAACACTCCTAGTTACATACTATTCACTCAATTAAAGTGGAGGAGCATATACCTATTATGGAACTAACCTAATTGAGGGTCGATGGAGTACTCAATATTTCGCCATTCTCTCACATTACACGTTCATACACAACATACACAAGAGGACACCAAACCATACATATATCAGTACTATGTACAATAAAACAACCTTGTTTATTCCGAAAATCGGAACGGGGTTTCCAAAAACTCGCTGCCGTACTCAAGCACAATTCTCATATCAGGAGGCATTTCTACGCGCTCTCTATATGGAGCCAATGAATAGCACCCTTCGACTAGGTGGACACATCGAGTAACCTTTCTTTACATGAAGGACAAATACGTTGCTTTGGCCTAAAAGTAAGTCCCCGTGTGACTTACCCTTCCATAAATACGTATGAGCCTCTCTGCCGATCTGGCCCACCTACACTGTCACTTTTAAACATGTTGTTAATGCATATTTAGCGTAATAGCTGATGGCAAGCCGCTAAGTCCGGAGGTTGGGAACTTAGCCGCCTCGTCCGCCTTTTTGTTACTCTTTAGACCTATTTATCCTGGTACCCAGTCAACAACCACCACTTGATGGCATCTAATAAAAATTATTTTCTAAAAATGTGGGAGGTAAATGAATTTTCTCAAATTAATTAACTGCAGGACAATTATTGTTTCTTTATAGATTTCTACTTTATTAGCTTTTTTATTATATTTTAGTTAATCGTTTATTAATCTTTTCGGTAAATACAAAATTTTAAAAAATGTTCAGGTTTTATTATATTTGTGATTATAAGAAAAAACTCATGTCGGAAGGAAAGTAAATTTATTTTTGTACGTTTATTATGGATGTAATTAACAATAATTATTTTAAAAAAATAGACGAAAACAAGTCACGGGAAAAAAGGGGCATTTCAGAGCCGGCGGTTTTTATGTTGGCCAGACTGCAGCTCCAGGTGCCGGCCATAATCTTTCTCGACTCTCGTTTGTTTACTTGACCCAAGTTCTCCTGTTTTCGGCGTTTTCCCGATTTGTTTACATTATCGCTTGGAGATCCGAAGTTCGTCAGGTCTGTCTCTTCTCTCAGAGGTCGGCACTTCTGTTTAAATGGTGGCCGAAATGGATCAGAGCAACCCAGCGGAAGGCAAAACGGAGTTCGACCCCAGGACGGCCGAGTTCATAAGAGATTTGATGAAGGAGAAAATCAATCTCGACCCGATACTTTTTCCCAACGCGTCCCGGCTCCTGGAAGAAGGTGAGTGGAGTTCTTAAAGTTTATGTTTTCATTTCAAACAGTTATAACTCACCGTACAAGCTCTGATACCGCTTAACCACACTTTTCACTAAGTTTTTTACACGACATTATTACCCTATATAATATTCTCCTTGTTATGCCTGTTTTAAATCCATAATATCGTCCTAAGACTATTTCAATTCAATACTAGTACGAAACTCTTGTGAAACTACCACCCTGACAAACGTAATAATTAAAAACGCGCAATTATAATTAAAGTCGAATCAAATTTTGTTAAATTTTGAAACAAGGAAGTTAATTATTTATTATTGAAAACAATAAAAGACGCTAGACACTGTCTGTCCGTTAGAATTCTCTATTTTTCTTATAAGCAGGGTTGCCAACTTACGCTACCTATCCGTACCGGCGCCCTCACCTATGCCACGATAAATAATAAAATACATTTTAACACAAGGCGAAGTATTTTCGAATGGAATTGATTTTAATCGGTGTATGGCCGTAATGTACAAATGGAACAAGAACATGAAAAGCGCATTAATGTAGAATAGCATAGACGTCGGAAATGCCTCTATAAAACATGGATTCGGCTCTCCTCTAGAAACAAATGAACTAAATTATACTTTATGACGTTGTAAAACTTCCGTAATAATAAAAATGGCAGCTTTAGACTTCAAACAATTCAATTTTAATAGATTATCATAATGAACCGATATAACATGACATAGACGTGTTCGATAAGATGAAAAACATAATAGTCCATTAGTTTTTACGTAGTTTCATAATTTTCGTATTTCTAAAAAATATAGACGTCAGAAATCATATCTGTAAAACATGGATTCGTCTACTAGGAACAAATGGATGAAATTGATTTTGAAAACTTTTGGTTTAAAACAGGAATCTAAACAACACAATTTTAATTGATATATCATCGTCATGTATCATGAAATTCAGACACGTTTGTTAAGGAGAAAATCAATTTTTTTCTTGGTTTTTATATAATTTCATTATTTTGTCGTATGCTTACTCTCTAAAATTAAGTCAAGACAAGAAGAATTTTAGGTAAATTGTAGATTTTCATTGATTCTTAGAAGATCAATATGAAAGTTAAACTTATAATAAGTATAGAGATTTCAGAAATCATTTCTCTAAAAAAATGGGTTCAGCGTCGTCTCTGAAAACAAATTTTTACATTAATATTCTTTATGTAGTTGCAAAACCTTTTTCCAACGAGAAAAACCGCAACTTTAGACTTAAAACAAGGTGAAGTACAACCACACACTTCACTCCTCATAGTCATCTCCTCTAGGAACAAATAGATTAAATTGATTTTGAAAACTTTTGGCTGTAAACAAGGCGAAGTACATCTAAAAAACAATAATTTTATTTTATATATCATCGTCAAAAACCGACATAACATGAAAATCTGGCATGTCTGTTAAGAAGAATAACTAGTCATAATTTTATTATTTTCTTGTATGCTTCCTGTCTAAAATTAAATCAAGATAAGAATTTCAGGTGAATTGTAGATTTTCATTGATTCGTAAAAGATTAATTAAACTTAAAAAAGTACAGAGACGTTAGAAAACCTATCTCTAAAATATGGATTCAGCGACGTTTCTAAAAACAAATTTTTATATTGATGTTCTTTATGTCGTTGCACAACATTTTTCCAACGAGAAAAACCGCAACTTTAAGCTTAAAACTGGGCGAAGTTCTTGTAAACAAAATTAATTGATATATCATAGTAATGAACAGAAATAACGACATTAGACGTGTAAGATAGAAAGACATAATAGTCCATTAGTTTTTACGTAGTTTCATTATTTTTTGTTTGCTCTATGAAATATAAAGACGTCAGAAATCCTATCTTTGAAAATGAATTCGGCATCGGTTCTAAAAACAAATAGTTTAAGTTACTATTCTTTATGTTGTTGTAAAATGGTTCCAGGCGTGAACAACCTCCAACTTTAGACTTAAAACCAGAGAATTACATCTAAAGAACATTAATTTTAATTGATCTATTCTACCCAACTGATGTAACATGAGTGTGAGATGTGTTTGTTAAGAAGAAAAACAATTGTATATTGGTTTGTAATTGTTTCAGTTTTCTTACAGGCCTACTCGCTAAAATTAAGTCAGGATAATGAGAATTTTTCGTAACTCGCGGATTTTCATTGATTCTTAATAGATCACTAAAAATGGTTAAAGAAATATAAAGACGTTAGAAATTATATCTCTAAAAATGGATTCGTCGTCTCCTCTAGGAACAAATGTATTTAATTAATTTTGAAAAGTTTTGGCGTAAAACATATATACGACATTAATTTTAATTGATATATCTACTGGCAAATTTCATTGATTCCTATCAGATTATTACAAAAAAAAAATTAAACTTTAAGAAACACACAGTCGTCAGAAATTGTATCTCTGATAAATGAATTCGGCATCTCCTCTAGAAACAAATTGTATAAATTCATATTCTTTATGCTGTAAAATGTCATGTTCATTAGTTTTTACATAGTTTCATTATTCTTCCAAATTAAATTAATATGTCGTAATGAACAGATGGAGTAGGGACATGAGAAGTGCATTGATGTACTTGTATTTTAGGAAGGGAACCATTATTGTTAATTTTTGACCCAGTTTCTTTTTTTATTATTATAAACTACTCGCCAAATTTAGTCAGTATTAAAAAAATTCTTCTAATTGTTGACTTTCAAGCTTCTTAGCATATCAAAACATAAAAGTTCAATTTAAAGAACTAATGCGACGTCTGAAATTATATCTATTATAAAACGTGGATTCGGCGACGCCTCGACTAGGAATAAATTTTTAGATAAAATTCTCTCTGACATTGCGGAAACGTTTCGCTAAATTAAAGTACATCCTAATAAAATTAATTTTAATTGGTGTATCGTTGTAATGCACCAATGGAACATTAAAATGAGAAATATATTTATGTAGTTGTATGTTTAATGGGAAATGTTTGTTACTTACTGGAGTTATTACGTTTTAGAATAGGAAGAAATTTTGGCAAATTGCTGACTTCTACGCTTTGTTATGCTTTAACTAGTTAAATATAAAATGTTTGAGATATATAGTAAAGAATCTTATCTTTTATAAAATATGTACATATTCGGCATCGCCTAGAACAAGCAAATGGTCTAAATATTCTTTATGCCGTTGTAAAATGTTTTCGCAACGAGAAAAAACTTCGGAAAATCGTACATTCAGAATCGGACCATTCTCGTAAACGGTTCTCGAGACGGTGTCAGCATCAACAACGAGCTTCGTAGAATTTTTTCAAAACAACGTCGAACGCGCATTTATTTCTTGACCCAAAGTCAGGCAGTTTTATTTCACACCCGGTTGTGATGTTTTTATGGACTGTTTTATTACTATTTCATCGATTAAATTTGATGAGAAAATCATTGATGAGAAAGGAGAATTGTAAAGTAAGAAATATTAGCAAAGAAAAATCAATGATAACAATTTCCTCTCAACCTGAGTAAAACGATAAATGTAATTCATGACAGAAAAGGTCAATCCTTATTCTACTACCTTATTTATGGTAAGGCCATGAAATCAACGGCACATTCGTAATAATAACTTTTGTCTTGGACATTTTCCCTAACTCAGCAAAATAGATTAAAAGAAAGAAAAGTATTTTCCTGGTTTTATCCACTCGAATCCCGCGATTGGCTTGAAGGAAATTAAATTAAGGATGAAACGGTATAATCGACCCTTTATAGATCGACTGCGGCTCCCGGCCACATGGGATTTTCCAGTTATTAACGTGGATGATAGGTTCTGGAAAACTCGATCGAACATCTGCCCTTCAATGCTGCAAGTAAAGGAAGAAAAAGAAGGAAACTCAATTTGCAATAATGACCTCGCCAAGTGGTTCCGACCACCATCTGGACCCAATGGGGAGGCAGCCATTATTTTTTTCTTCATTTTTCACCATCTCTTGTTACATTCCATAAAATGAAAATTATCAAAACGCTATGTAGTTAGCATTATTTTGACCAACGTTGAAAATAAATATTAAAAAAATCCTAAGTGGTGTCTTCGGCTTTGTTTACATATCCGGGGATATAAACGTAAAAGTTACAATGGCTAACTTAATAGATAAAGTCTCAGATCCGAACAATAAGATCGAAAAGCCCTGTTTTTTCCTACAGCCTACGTCAAAATTTCTTTCTTCCCTTTTCCTAAAAACGTCGCATACCCTTTCGATTTTACAGATTGTGAGATCTGCTTTAAAACATTTCTATGCTTACCCAATATTTTAAAGCTTAAACAAGTAATTTGATTGCATTTGATATTAGTACGACAGCGTTGGTAAAATTTAGCCGAATATTTGCATGAGTTATCGATTGTGGGATTTTTTGTCGAGTCTGCACGGATGATGAATCTGTAGTTTGGTCGACTCAGATCATCCTAGTTCCTTTGGTCTGTTTCAGAGGGTTGACACCTTATGAAAAACACAGCTGAACAAAAAACACACAACCACTGACTTCTTGTTGATGTCTGCGGGGACATTGCAATGTAGTCCTCTCTCATCATCTATATTCCTTGTGAGGGTCGACGCCTTATAAAAGGACACAACTGTCAAAACTGCACACAGACCACCCACTGAATTATTGTTATAAACATGTAAACTTTTGTTGTTGTTCTTGTCAACAACTTGTAATTTGATAGTTTCCGACCGTTTAGGTCTTTGCTCTGTTTGTGAGGGTTGACACCAAAAACACAACCAATGAATTTTCTTTGATGTCTCGGGGTTATGGACTTTACAGTTTAGTTGTCTCTCAGCATCCCTCTCTTTGGTTTGTTTAATGCCTTCTCCTGATTATCATCTCCATACAAAAGAACACAACTGCCAAAACAGCACTCAGACCGACCACTGACTATTTGTTTTGCAGGGTGATGAACATGTAGGTCGTATCAGATCATGTCGGTCTTTGGTCCTGGTATTTCTGTTTCTGAAGGACAGAATAAAAGGACAGAAATAGACACCTAATAAAATATCACAGATATCAAAACAAAACACTGAATTTTTGGTTCTGCGGAATGACGATTCTGAAGTTTAATCGTCTCATCACCTTGATATAGACCACTTTATCAAAAGACACACGTCAAAATGGACCACTGTCCTCTTGTTATGCAGTGTGAAATATTGTGCAACCTGAAATATTATTCTCTCAGATCATGCAGGTCTTTAATTCACAGCTGATAATAAAACTAACCGCTGAAGTCTGTTTGGTCGGGAGGTCTTGAAGTTTTGTCATTTGGTTTTTTAAGTCCATTTCTTAGGATCGACACGTTATCAAAGAGTACAACTATAAAATTAACACATCTATCTTATAAAAGGACATAATTGTCAAAACAGTAAACAGACCAACCACAACTTGTTGATGTTTGCGAGGTGCTAAACTTGTAGTTTGATATCTCGGAAAATCAATTTAATGCCCTCTTTTTACGGTCGACTCCAAAGAGCATAGCTATGAAATTAACACGGCCAACTTATAAACTGCCACAACTGTTAAAACAGCAACTGATCAGTTCGGTTCCTACTGTCAGCGTTGATAGAATGTGTTATTTTTTCAGACAACAAGAAATCGTGGGCGATCAAAAGACACTGATAACCATATTACAACTAAGTTTAATCATTTCTTAATATTTATTGGGTTGTCCGGAAAATAATGCAGGATTTTAAGTTTTCATTAAAAAAAATCTATATAAAATATTCTGTTTACGTTTACAGGATTACTCATATGTATGAATGTCAACACTTATTAATCCTCTTCCAAATGATATTGTTTGTTTACCTCTGTAGCATTCCGCTACTTGGAAATAATTCAGTCATCCTTATNTTATTTTGATTAAAGAACATTGCTTTAAAGTAACTAGTTTCTTTTTTTTTGTTTAATACCAAAATCCTGCATTATTTTCCGGACAACCCAATATTTATAAAGTGTTTTTATTGTGTTTGCTTGTGCGGTCTCCTAAGGCAAGCTAATTTGAAGTGTAGGAGCAAAATAATAAGCATAAAACTCTCATTGAACCTCAGCCTTGAAAGAAATGCAACACCGTTTCCTTAAACTCTTCTGACGGATAATAATACACACTATCACAATAGAAAAGGAAATGTGAATTTTGACGGTGAACTGTAGACACAATTGACATTTAAACAAAATAAACTCAATAAAGAAGTGAATTGATTTTGCAGTTCTGTTCTACAGAATCATTCACCGACACATTGCTCCCCCCTTCGGAGAATAAAATGTTGCCGAATCTACAACTCAACAGTTGGCCTGAAAGGAAATACATGGCCTCAATTGGCCCATACCGGGGCAATTGAGAAAATTAATTGTTGGTTTAGAACTCTCACCGGTGTACTGTAAGTACTGAACAGTGGATACAATAGCTTTAGCGCCCTGCAGAGCTGTATAGAATTACTACATTGTGAGTTTGGGTTTCTAGTTGATAGTTGGGTCGAGTTTAAACGTACGTTTAATTTAATGTGATGTTTATAGTTTTCTCCTAATCTGTCATGATCAACAAACAACCCTTATTATGTTAAATTTCAAATTGTTATCTCTCCCCAGTAAATCCTGGGCAAGAGACCGAGACAGTTTATTAATCTCTACATATGATCTACATTAGAGGTCATGTAATTAATTGTATATGAGTTAGAAGTGACTCTGGTATTTATTTTATTTTTTAGCTGAGAATTAGGAAAAATAAAAATAAAGCCAAAATGAAACCAAAACATTGTGCACTGTACATCTGCTTGATAAATTTAGTATTCTTGTCTGCCTTGAGATGTCATGAACATCAAGTTCTTTTATATATCCTTTTTTTTTTATTCTGCTTCTGTTCCGTATATGCTTACGTATCAAAGAAAAGTATTCGAAGTTTTTCGAATAAGTGTTACCAGTTCTTGTTCGTGATATTGATTTTTTGCCACATAAGAAGTAAAGAGTAGCAGATTAAAATTGTCTTGGTGGAAAATGTTTGATGGAAATTAATTTTATCCTACTTTCACCACCTTTTGACCCTTCCATTCTCAATCTTTGTTTTTTCCTTAATGATTATTTCGCTAACACTTTTATGATAAACTAATTGGCGCTCGATCACTATAGTTAATACGAGTTTTGGCTTCATGCCATCGTCATTGAGGCACAGAAAATCTATTAAAACGTATTTTCAGGTTCACCAAGTAAGTTCTTCGTCGTGATTCTATAACAGTTGATTATTTTTGTTTTAAATGTCAAATAATAACTAAGAATATGAAACCAAAATATTTCCAAATGGGCTTTTTTAAACCGAAACCTCGAGGGTTGAGACGCGTCGTAAAAAAATAAACAAGAGATACTAGATTATCTGTGTAAAAGTAGCTTAATTGAAATATTTGATTAAATTAAATTTTATCCTGCTTTCACCACTTTTTCGTTCTTTCCTTTTTTCAATTTAGTTATTTCTTTCTTTCGGCTTCTTTTGTGAATCTTTGCATTATGAAGAAATAACTGAAGCTTACCGTTAAAAGATATTACGAAATAACACTCAGCTTAGCAGACCACAGGCCTAGTGTCGAGTTTGTAACAAAAATTCTCGACTTTTAACCAAATTTAACACAATATTCTTACTTTGAACATATTTATCTGCTTTTAAAGCTTCTCTTTTAATAACTGGGAGAGTTTCTTGTCTATATATTCGTCATTATTCTACAAATAAGCTTAAAAATGGAAACATTTAAACTCGAAGATCTGTTCACTGGTTAACCCCTCCACAATTCATGCTGTTTCATATTCATTGGAAGAAAATGCATAGAGGAAATCAATACAGCTACATCGTTCTGCCCAAATACGGGATGTATGCAAATCCAAATAAAAAAATAAAGGTTTATTTACTAATTCACTGGAACGGAACATATCATGGTTAGATTGAAAAATGTACATGCTCAGAAATTGGGTTAGTTTTTAATTTGCCTATGGGGGTAGCGGGGATTCGGAAATGGGAGCGGGGGTCGGAAATTGAAATTGGTATCTCTCCGCCCCCGAGAACGGCGAGGGGTTCCAAGAGTCGGAAGCACCACCTTCTGATAACGTCCCCCTTTGTCTAAATTCCGCTCAAGTGGTACCCTGATGGTACCAGCACACAGTTTTGCCCCATAATTTACCTATTATATTATAAAAAAATAAGCACATATATGGTACTAGGATTTTAGTGATGCGGAGCTCCTTGACCTATCGTGTGAAAATTTTTAAATATAAAACTCCAAAGTTGTAAGCTTGTGCTTTTAAAGAATAAATTATTGTGTATTTAATTTCACCTCCTTTTGGTGCACTATGTCATTATCATATTGCCCACCCTCTTTGAATTATATTCCGTTCTATTTTCTTCATCGACAGACCCGATTTTCATGCAACATTAATTTGAATTTTATCAGTTCAATAATAGGACGAGTTGAACTGACCGCTTGATCACTGAATTGGATCTGTCTATTCTTCTGAGTAAACAAGCTAGGACTTGAAATCCCCACACAAGACTGCAAAGACAGCAAACGATCAAAATTAGGCATTTCAAAAAACTGTTCATTTACAAGGCAATGATGATTGCCTCTCTGGGCGTACAGTTGTGAAGTGTGGAGGTCAACCAAGGATTTCAATTCCCAATGTCTCCAATCAATTCAGTCTAAAATTCTCCGACAAATTATATATAAATGCTCCTTTTTATGTAACAAATTATACCATTCATCACGACCTATGAAAAAATTGCATAAATCACTGAACATACACTACAATCTATTAATACTTCAGTTATCACTTCCAATCCCATCCGAATATCTTCCAAGAAGATTGAAGCGAAAGTGGCCCCGAGATCTTCTCATTGAATGAAGATTGAGGAGGTTTCAGTGTGAAGGAGTCCACTGGGCAACTTCGACAAGATGCTCAAATGACAAATTCAGCACATATGATATTATTTACTTAATAAACTAATTGGAGTTGGAAATATCAAATAAACTTAATTTTTAAAAAAATCTTAAAAAGAGTGTCATCTGTTGATTCGCTTAGATGATTATGAGCTCGTTTATAAACAGATCTGCTTACAAATTCCCAACTTTTCCCATTTCCTCTTTAATCCTTCTTCCCGTTTCACAATATCCCTAAATTCTTTGTTCCTCTTGCCCTTTTATCTCTTCACAACGACTTTGGATTGCGGCGCGTAGGATAATAAAGCTCATCATCTTCCTTGTGATTACAAAATCGATCTTCTATTTTTCCCTGGATATAAACTTTCACTGTTTGCTCGAGTTTGGCAGATTCAAAAGGGTCCTGTCGGTAATCAAAGGTCGGATAATGGCTTTTTATGAAAAGAGGACAAGTGGTTTTGGCTTCTTGCCTTAAACTTTGCTCCGTCGTCTCCCACTTCAGCAATGGGACGTTAAAAATTAACACACGGATAACCATAATAGACGTTGAGAAATTAGACCCATCTGACTGCTGCTTTTTTGAATAAACGTCGAAATACTAGAACGTAAAATTTTCAAGTGAAATTTAGCAGCAGTAACATAAGCTTCGTGCAGGACATGCAATAATTCATCTTTTGCATAACGGATTTTGCCGCTAACGCTAAATTTCCTGGCGAGTTTGGCGTAGTTCATGTTAAGCCGTATCTTTCAAGCTTGTAAACACGTTGTCGGATATTATGGATTTTGTCTTGATTGCTGACGATAGTTTTGATGCTAAGGACTTGATTAGTTCTAGAAACTCTAACGTACTAAGTAAACATTAATTACTGGGCAATTCGAGGCAAGTTGAGTTAAACGAAATTGAGGAAGAAAAGTCTAAAATATTACATTGCAGTGAGTTAACCATATACATACTTATTATAGCCACGTTCTATACGTTTCTTAGAATCTCAGCTTTTAAATTTTATTTAAGCGGTTCAGCCAAAGGTTCTGTTTTACACAATTACTGTGGCCTCATCGAGGGAAAGATGTATACATTGGTTGTGGTTGCTGTATTTCTAGCCAATGTCATTCCTGATTTTATTTAAATAAATAGCTAAAGATTTTAATGTTGTTAAATTGTACATACAGTCTTAGGAAGTATTCTTGAAAACTTGTACGAATTGTTACAATGTTAACTACAAAATAAACAATTTTATTATGTTTCTGTATAATATTAGTTTTTTTATAATTGGACAATATCTCCAACAAAAAACTATGTTTTGACTTTACCGTTCCCCGTTAAAAGCACGCTATTATTGTAAGACAAATAACGTTGGACGCTATTTCAGATAGCTTCCATTAAAATCTTATTCGTACCGTTCACGTCAATGTTATGCATAATCTCCCTAATGTCAGCTTAAAAATGTTATATATAAGGTTTTTGTAATTTAACCCTAGTTTTAAAAGAAAAGGAAAACATTTAGAGAAATTAACATGAAGATTCTTAAATAAGATAACAGTTGTAAGTTAGTATCTTCAAAGAACTAACTCCTATCGGTTCCTTTTTGCCGTGTTGTTGTTAAATTTGTTACTTTTTGTGATTCTAGTTTCTTTTTCCAGAAATAGTCAAAGCACAGAAAGGTAAGGCGTACAGGGATACTCGAACCCCCGTGGACCTGTACAGAGAACGCCCCATCCGAGCCGTTATAAAAGTCCAAGTGCCAATCAAGGAACACCCAAGGGTAAGTCGGACGCGACTCATTGTTCCCCATACAAAATAAACCAATTCTCAAAAACAATATTTCTAGTTCAACTTTGTTGGGAAACTGCTCGGACCGAAGGGAAATTCTTTTAAGCGGCTCCAGGAGGAGACCATGACGAAAATGGCCATCCTAGGCCGGGGCAGCATGAGGGACAAGCAAAAAGTGAGTGAACCACTTTCACTTTAAGTAGAAATTGTAGTTAGTCTATTAAGGCCGAACCGAGTAACAAGTTTGCACTTGGTTCTTACTTTGTTAAAACAAATTTTACACTCATTTTTAATTATGAACTCTTTCAGTTTATAATCTTCTGAACATCTTTTGTCCATAGTGGTTAATGAAATTTGTTGAAAAAGCAATCCTGCTTAAATTGTAATGAACGGACAATTTAGTTAGGTTAAAATCTTTCTACTAATATCTGAGAAATTGTCTGACGCTTTTATATATGATCATGGGCAAAATATAACAGAGGACGGGTTCTTCAAATCTTAGGATCAAGAACATTGCAGGCTGAAAAAATAATTAAAAGTTTTTAATTTAAAATTTCCCTGAGAACTAAATCAAACAGGTCTTTCGGTCATCAGTAAGATTATTTTAAAGAGAAAAAAATATATTTTACGCGTGTTCATATTACCATATTTGCTCTTCTTCTTCAGGATGTCCTGCAGGTTTACTTCTGAGACTTTAAAAGCAAAGTATTGGAATAATGTCAGGCATTGCATCAGTAAAGCAATTTAAGCTCTTTAGTATCTAATGTCCCACTAATAGACGAAGTTGTAGAAATGCGTGTAACTTTTTCAAGAGGAGTTATTTCCCTGCTCTCCTAGGAATTGCAGCCCAGACTTCCACCTTTCGAGATAAACCCAAGTTTTTACGAGTTCGTGAAACTTCTGACATTTTACAACGCCATAAGGTGTTCTTTAGTGGTCGGTTTTGTAAATTTGAACGAAATACCTGGTCTGACGAGGCGGAATTGTACACCGCAAACTACCCCGATCGTGCACTGTTCGTTTTCTTGTGGTGTTTACGAATCGGCAAAATCAATAATTTCACAAAAATAATTAAAGTTGAATTATGATTTCTGGCCTTAAAAGAGATAATTTGATGAATTTCAATATACATTTCTGTAATTTGAGTTTCAAATTTAATATCAACTTACTCCCTGCAAATAAAAAGGAAAAAACCTTCATAATGCAAGCTTATCATTTTTCCTTTACATAATATTCAGATATTTAAGAATATTCAGAAGAATAATATTCAGATAATTAAGATTCATCAGAACTTTTGTACTACCGTTTGCTTTAATTTGTACTGCTCAATCTGACACAATCAGTTTTTGAATTAACAGCAGTTATTGTAAATATCGAATAAATGTCCATTTTTAATGTAAATAATGTACATTGCATATATGTAGGGCGAATAGCCAGTAGAACAACTAGTGCACATTGTAAGGAGTGGTGTAGCATGACCTACACTATTTCCTACTGTATCGATCAGTGGTCCTTGTTGATGGATGAAGCAGACTGACTGTTTGCATTATCCCTACGTCCATTCCTTATTTAACAATCTTTGCTTTACAAACCTTTTGTTAATATTGACGTATCCATTACTCCAAACATATACCCGTGATGTTGTTTCGGCTGGTTTTTCGCCTGATCACCCGTCTCGTCATCTTTGACAAATTCGTCACTCTGTGACACATCGTACCAGAGATATACCAGTGACTAGTTTCAAGATTGATAAAGAATTGAGAAAAAAGGTACTACGTAAAGTTATTAAAGTGGCAAACACTTAAAGCGGGCGGCAATTTTTACAGGTTGGTCTTCCTATGAGATTTTTGGAATGTTTTCTATTTGGTTAGGAAAAAAAGTTATATTTTGATTCGTATTGTTAACTTCCTGCAGTATCTATGGAAATGTATGTACGTCATTCTCTTACATTCTCAATAAAAACCGTACCGAACTTACTATGTTGATTATTTTTTGCGTTCCCGGGTGGTCCATTCCAAAAAGAAAATACTCACACTTGGCAATTCACTTTATCACATATGTATCAACAAATCATTATAGCTTAAAAAACAGTTTTCGGAAGGTAGAAAATAGTTAATTTTGTTCCAGCTACTGATAGGGGCTTAAAAAGACTATTGTACCAAGCCATTGTGTGAATGACAATAATTAATAATACGAAAATTATTTACATTGATCCATATATGTATTTAGTCGTCATAATTTGCCTATTAATTATTTTAATTATATTAACGTTCATTTAACCTAAAATTAGTAGTTACACTTCCCAACAGAATTGGGGCTACTCCATTTTTTTTAAATAAAAAATCTTTAATTCACGTTGCAAGACTATATCAAATTATTTAACGTTATAATACATGAAAGAGCAAACGAAAACTAACGTTTTTCTTTAAATAATATAAATTTATTCCTGGTTTAAATTAAAAAAAAAAAAAAACGAGCAGGACAAACAATTAATAGGCCAGTCATTAATTTTTATTCGAGGGGACCAGAACTACAAACTCAAAACATATCTGATTCTGGTCAGTTCTTCCTGAATTTATCCTCCCAGGGGTGGGATTTAAAATATAATCTGCAAACCAATTTATTTTTAGGCAGGCAATTTTACGGTTCAATTAAAACAAATATGTCATGAATTTTAGATTATTCCACCAGGTAAATATGCTCTTACGTTAGTTAAGTAAGAACTTTTAACTTTTAAGTAAGAACAAAGAGTCCATAATAAGAATAGATATCTCGTTGTAACGAGATACATTGGGAGAGGGAGAAAATGCATATTAATGCTGCTTACATAATTTATACGAATATCGTCTACACGTGTCTTATATCCGTGGGAAAGTGTAACTTATGCTCTTTACCACTATTTAAAAATAACAATAATTTGATATAACTCCTCCCTCCTCAAATTAGCTTCCATGAAGGTCTAAATCAATTACAATTAACATCAATATTCTTAAGCACAATAATACAATTATTACAATTTTATATCACTAATTACATTATTTAAAGAAATATAACATTGATTAATACAATTGTTAGTGTTTACATCTCCAGAGCATCTGGATTACATTTTGTTGATTTATTTACAATGAAAACATGTTTCTTTTTTAAGAATATTTATTATATTGGGTTGTCCGGAAAATAATGCAGGATTTTGGTATTAAACAAAAAAAAAGAAACTAGTTACTTTAAAGCAATGTTCTTTAATCAANATTCATACAAATGAGTAATCCTGTAAACGTAAACAGAATATTTTATATAGATTTTTTTTAATGAAAACTTAAAATCCTGCATTATTTTCCGGACAACCCGATACAAACTAGAACTAATATGAAGATTACGATGTACAGGAATACAGTCCACCAACTTGGATTAGAATAGATTGTGGGAATTACATTTACAGGGTTAATAGAAATGTTTTTCAAATCAAGTCTTTCGAGGGCGACTCTGAATTCTGGAATTTGCTGCGGCGTAAGACTAAGGTTGATACTCTGTAGTAGAACAGACTTTCAACCTGTAGATTCAGGTGATGAAGTAGATTCATAGATGAAAGTTTTGCCTTTGAAAACAAGGCTTCCACTAGCTGCTTTTATGAGGAATATCCCAGTTTTCGCTTCTGTGGAATCAGGCTTCAAAAAGTAAACTGCTTCTGGATCTTCAAAAATAGCCCAAAATTGATTAATCCGCAACAAAAGTTATTAGATTGCCCTGAGTTTCCAATTCTGTGTACGTGCAGACGGAGCTGGATCCTTTTAGCAAGATGTCCTCCTCGCATGGAGTTTGGTGCGTTGAAACCAGTTGGACAATGATATACCTTGTTCTTCTTACAAATATTATTTATATAAACAATTTCGTTATTTTCTGATTTTAATATATAAGGAGTTTGCGGGATAATTATTACAAATTTGTTCTGATATTTACTTGGGACAGGTTGCATGTTAAATAGTTCAGAATGGTGTTCTGAACAAATTGGAAGTTCCATGAAATAGACTATTTGATTCTCTTCAACTTTACAAATTATCTTTAACATATTTTCGTAATGAAAGATATTATTGATATAAACATCTAAGCACATTTCATTTCTATAATGATTTTCTAATTTCTTTAATTCTGAAAACAATTCATGAACGCTAATTATGGAAGGGTGAATTGTCCCTATTTTACAAAAAACAACTGAATTTTCAATTTCCTCTATGGTGTTCAAAAGTAAGCGATATAATGTTTGTAATTGATGCAATGCATCTTTAATTTCAATAATCGCTATATTTTTCCCACATATTTCCCAATTAAATTTATCTTTACTTCCAACTCCTCGCCATTCATCTGAAGGGTTTTCATAGTTTTGTTGAAATCATTTATTATTTTATTATTTATGGAGTACATTAAATTTAATTGATTCTTCAAAATACTTTCATTGGATTTAACTTTAGCCATGAATTTGTTAAAGGCTTCTCCATCAGAGCTTTTGAGGTTTCCAGTTATAATTTTTATTAGACTGCCAATACCGTTAATATGACCTCTTTTATTTCTTTTTGTTGTGTGGGCAATTAAATGATTTATTTTCGCCTCTGTAAACATTCTAGTTTGGTTGATCAAGTTAAAATTGGATACGGTTTCGTCTTTAATAGAATTATTACGCTTAATAAAATCATAAAGTCGACGATACTGACTATTTTCAATATCAAATTCCGAGAACAAATGTTTTAAATCAAAATAATGAATCAATGTATATGATGATATTTCTAGTTTTGCTGTGCCTAAATTTATTGATAACATTCCTGGATTTTTGGATATGTCCTTCATGGTGTAGGTGTCAGAGGGTGTGACAATCCTGTTGAAGACCGCGACGGTCGTGGAACATTTGGGTCCAAGTTGTAATTACTTTTTCTCGAGCGATTAATGTTTGAAATGTGTGGGCATTATTTTAGCAGTTTTTAATGATTTGTTTATAGTGTCAATGTTTTCGGATTTGTATTTTGTGTTTTTCTTTGTTTTTGTTTGTTCACGTTCTTTTCTGGAATGTGAGGTAATTCCTCTCTGTTGGCATTTATTCGTAGTAGTACTTTTATCTTTATTTTCATTTATGGAGTCTTTAATTTTTATTGTACAATAGTTTGGTTCGTTCTTTATGGTTTTCAA